GCTTTAATATACATTATAAAGGGTAATGGTCTTAAAACAAGCCCTTGGGGTATTGTGTATTTAAAGTAGGATTAATTATTTAAAATAATAGCTTAAGCTTTGTTTAGAATATTAAGTGGAGTTCTAGAGGATGCCTTGGGATTTTTATTTCGTCTTGTTTTGCTTTTCGTTTATAATGATTTCAAGTCTGTAGTATATAGGGCATCCCATAAACAATTATCTCACCTTCGCATAATTTGAATTAAACCATTGATACGATTAAAAAATGGTTTGTTCTAAAGTGAATTAAAACTGTTTTCAGATATGTAACTCAATGTAGCGATAGTGGCGTAGAAGAGGATTGTCCGGGATGCGTCTCCATGTATTGCGTCTGTTGCGTCGAGGCGCAGAACGACGCTTTGCGAGAAATTGAAAAAATACTGAAACGTCTTGAAGATGCAGAAGGCCTTTTTCCATCAAGCAAAGCTTTCGCCGAACTATATCCTCTTTATAGATCTCCCGAAATAGTAGGAAGGGTAAGGGCGATGTGTCAGTGGTACAATATGACGAAAATTCAAAGGCTAAAGTTGAATATTTTGGGAAAATTGGTGGTATTGTTAGACAGTAAACACTCGGATTGGCCTTGTTGTACGAATACGGAAGAAAACGGGTCGGGTAAGTGCAAATTCACTATTACTGATTTATTTTACTTTACTCAGAACTTTCGCGCTTCCTTGCTGAGTTCTTTACCTTATAAGTGACACTTCTGATTCTCCTTAGTCCTTCCAATGCCTCACTAAAAAGTATTTAAATAATAGTGAAAAGAAAAATGGCAACTAAGAACTTAAAGTTATTTTATTCTATTAGATGCCTCTAAATTTTGAGATTCTGTTATGTGAGATATGTGACTAAATGAAGTACTTTTTTTACATACAGGTAGCCCTTCTGATAGCAACAACAGTACAAATTCCTCTGGTAGTATGACCAGTAGCGATTGCTCCAACACGAACGATCTTTACCAACCAATAACACCCATTTGCGAGCTCTTAGCGCCCAGAGGTCAAAAGAACAAAGTGTCACCTTATAGGCGATACATCGAAAACATTTTGAAGACGCGAGCACTCGACAAAAGTTTAAATTTTCTGAGCAAACTTCACAACCACGTTCTGAAGAAGACTCAGTTGACGTTAGAGTATCCTGAAGATACGAGTATTTTTTCAAAAACTAGCTGTAGTTCCGAAGAAGAGGAGCTCAGAAGGTTTGAACATATTCATATTAACGCGTTTAATAATTATTATTTTTTATTTTTTTTATCGTTTTTTACTTTGACGGTTTTTAATTGTTTTCTTTCTTACTACTTTTATTTACTTTATTTTAAGATTTTTGTTTATTACGGGGTTTTACTGATTATTGTTACACATCAACATCTTTCTAGGTATGGCTGTTGGAGTCCCGAATATGAAGCTCTGGATTTGCCGTCATATCGAACTCTCTTCATATTCCTGGCAACAGTACCTTTAGAAGTGCTCCATGAGTACTTGTTAATGAGATTAGAGCAGAAACCCACCAATCCTTCCGCTTTGAGTATCAGGCAACTAATGAGAGAGCTCAAACAGGGTTTACTCAAAGCTATGCAAGAAAGAGGTAATATTCAATATGGCTTGTCTCCTAATATTTTAATTTTTTTTTCAATCCTAAGATAGTGCTTCATGTCTCTAATTTAAACTCATTTATTAATAAATTTGATTGGCCAAATACCATAATATAAACTGTACCTCAAAAGGACCTAAATAAATATCTTACTCTTTCTTAGAGCTTGCTTGCGGGTATATAGAGACTGCTACATCGGAAACCGACATAGCCACGGTCGATTTTAAGGAAAAAGTGGAAAAATTTGACGACTGCATTTGTAAAATTTTCACGGATTTTCTGGAATACTTGCAACAGTGGGTGTTCCTAAATAAAACGTCTTTCCAGAAAAATCTCCTCGAGGAAGAGTTCAATTTTTGCATGGTGGTTTGTACGAAATTTCCGCACTTCAAGATGATGGTGGGTTCGAAATTCGCTAACATTTTAGGAACGATATTGAGAATAACTGGCGAGAGGTTGATTGAGAGAATCGACGTCGATTTAAAAACGTTGGCGGCAAACAACAATGCTGATGGATTAATCAAGTAAGTTATGTTTTATATTGCATAAATATATATTTTCAGTTCAGTGTTTGATTTTTACATTTTACTAAAGCATATTTAATTTTCTTACAAATAATCTGTAATTTTTAAGAATTAAGAATGTTTTATTCAGTACTAGTCATCAGGGTATCAGACGTTCTTTTGGTTTATCCGTTTCTTCCACGTATAGTCCTAGAGCTGAGAGTAAAATGAAAAAGTAAGAAAACATTAGTTTTTCATTTTTAATTGACATCCTTTGCCATTAAAAAGACAATATTTTATAAATCCTGCATATCATTTTTAATAATTAAATACAACTTAGGTATTTTAATCCTCATCGCTAGAATGGTTGTATAATACATATTCCTCATCAGTCATCACTATCCAATATTTTCGGGGCTACTAAATTTTCATCTATACTGTTAGGGGCTTGAGGACCTTCAAAACTATTCCATTTGGAATGTATTGTCAACTAGAATCCAGTCGTTATTTTCTTCTCTGTAAAAAAACGGCTCAGTATTTGTTTGTAAATTCCATTTTGTACAACCAATAAAACTATTGCGGCAAGATTAAATGAAGCTACCATCTTAAGCTTTTTATTGTGATATATTTACACCTTAACTTCCCATAAAAATGTCTAACCGTGTTTCGTTTACTCTATGTATGTTAAGTCTGCCGTGCATCTTACAAATGACCTTTTCTAAAGTCTATTTAATTTCTTGAGAACTATCAATTGTGCAGTTTTTCCTTTTAACCATCCTTGCAAACCTGGAGGGTTTCCAACTTTCAGCCGAAAACGCATAGCAACGAAAGCGCCAAAGTTCTATCACCGAAACGACAAGCATGCGATTATCGTATTCTCTAATGCTAGACGATTTTGCTATTCGTAAGTTATTTTAATTGTTGTCGTAGGCTGTCATAATTATAAATCGTAAATGCTGATTGGTCTAAATATCTAAGGTTATGATTTGAATGTCTTTTTGACATTATTAATTATAATAATTATACAAACTCTATTCGAATATATTGAGGCCAATTTCAGAATTATGAGGAATCAAAAACATAATAAACAGCACACATTTGCTGACATTTTATTAGTTAGGTCCATATTTTAATGTTTAACTTATCTACGTCCGAAAATATTAGCCTTAAATGACAAAACTTGAAGTGCGAACCGCAAAACGCCACTCCTATGTAACTTTTTGGAAAGCGCTTTACTTTTTTCAAATACAAACAGCACAGCAAGTGGAGAATACCAGAACGTTTGTGCTTTACACTTTTGTTAGTTGTTTGTTTCGTTTCTAGAGAGACGCGCTGAATGCTTTCAAAAAACGCTGGTTACATAATAAGCCCCCAGGTACTACATTTACTGCCTATGTTAAGCTGGTAGTGCTTCTGCTACAATTTCCCCAAACTTTCGTATTCGGGGTCCCTACTATTTCATAAAACCTGATTTTAAAATTTTCAACAATTAACGCACTAGTCATTATCAAGATTAATTTTCGTTTTCAAACTTTGACATTAGATCCTCAAAACTTTAGATAATATCGGCCTTTATTAGAACGTTCAGTGTATTTCTTTTTTCTTTCAGTATGTAATTTTCTGGGAGTAGGTGCAGGTTTTGACAAATATTTAGACATTTATTTTAAGCTTAAGTTTTACAGGAATTTTTATTAAATTTCTATCGGGTTGCAAATAATTATCTTCCCGTATAATTTCACTTTCAAGAAAATGTTTATAACAAACTACTGCAGTTTTTGAAGGAATTGCATTGTTGTCTTAAATAATCGTCCTTCAGAAATTAAAAAAAAAAAAACGGATATTGGCTATTTTTGTTTTAAAACACTATTATAATTGAACTTACAGGCAGGAATATAGCAAATACTAGGCAAAATTATTGAAAAAAGTAACAAGGAAAAGTTTTCCATATAAAAAGCAAGCTTTTTGTGAGTCATTATATATATTTTAGAGGGCCAATCCATATTATTTTAGAAAAATAAATAAAATTTTTGTATAATCACATAAATGTGATTTATTTTTTAGAATATTGTATGTTTTTCAGAGTTTATCAATTTTTATAAAAAAGGAATTATATTCTTCAAAATCTTTCTTAAGTTTTTTTAACACGGTACACAATACCTTAATTCGTTTATAGCTATCGATTTTAAACAAGAGGGAGGTTGGACATCGTCGAAGAGAAACAGAGAGATTAGTAAAGAATTTTAACTCGATTAAAAAGAGTTCTTTCTATTTCCATTTCCTAAAAAAACTAATAGACCTTTTTGAAATCGGTTTTCGGTGACTTTTCTTCTGATTTATTGCCTTGAAAATGATATGATTTATAAAAAAAAACAAAACTGACTTATTAGTTTTGTGAAATAAAAATATGATGTTATTTTCACAATTTTAGACTGCTCTCTGTTCCAAAAAAGAAATACGATGTTGTCAAGCAAGTTCTTCTGTAGATAATAACACATTATTTAATTGGCTTTTTAATTTTTTTTAAAATATTCTTTAGTATTTTCATAATTTGGGAAACTCGTATACCTGAAAAATTGTAAGTACGCTCTTAATTGTCTGGTTTTTTATTCACAATATCGGTTATAAGAAGTTAGTATTCAAAAACATGTTTAAATGAATATATTAAATAAATTATGACCATTCTTTAACAGAGATATATTTATTTGTATTACGAAAATAATGTTTATGTCAACAAACTTACTCGTATGTTCGATATTTGTATCAATTTGTAAAGATAACTCTTGTATAATGATAATATTAATATTTAAAGGTTTTAAATAAGGACTTGAAGATATCACAGTTCGAAATTCCTTTTATTGACCATAATACTTTTTTTGAAATGAAAGAATTCATTAGTTCCTGTTTTTCAGTTAAGCTCCATAAATCAATTCATATTATAATCTGAAAGCTACTTAAGCGCAGTAAAGTTGCAACAACTAAACAATATAGTGAACTTTTCGAACATTTCTAAGTTAAAATGAAAATCAATTTATATTTAAAATTAAATAAATTAGCTTAAATTTTTGACCGTATAAAGTTATAAATAATTACGTTACAAAAATTTATATGTGAATTTTCAATTTCTATTGATGTGATAGTTACTCATCTGCGTTTTACAATATCAATGCATGACTTGGCTTTGGCACAAAATCCTGTATAGTAAAACTTCTAATCCGAATCAAAATCTTAAAATTATTATTTGGGGACTTAAAAACGTGGTCCACTAGTTGGTGTAGTCTTTTAAAACATTTGGTATAATAACAATTTTGCCACTGCCACTGGTAAATCCTAAACTTAAAAAAGCGTATTATAATAATAAGACATTATTCATATCTTAAATGGATCGCCTACTACCATGTTTTAGAAATAAATAAAATGTAATTCTTCAATTAATAAACATATTTAAAATAATTTAAGATTCCTTGCATTACGTTAATAAAAATTAAACAAAATTTCTCACGAATTATTAAGTATTTTGTTCTGTACTTCCATGTCTCTTTTAGCTAGCTCCGCTGTCAACAAGTTCCGGCAAGCAATATTGCATATAAAAATTTTGAATTTTATTTTGTATCTTTTCTTCACAAAAGCTGTCATTATGAGAAATTTTCTCCACTTTTATTCCCCCAGAAGTCCAAAAGCACAAAATGCAAAAAACCATTTTTGTTATGTACAGCTAGCCCTGAATTTGAAAATATCAATAGTAGTTCTCCTTAATGGTATTGTCCTTTTTCCAAAAAGTTATTTCTCTACTGCATATTTCTTCTTCTACAGTCGGACATTTTAACTCTTATCATAGAGTTTTGTTTTTTTTTTTAATTCCGTCCTTGACTGGCAGCAACATAATCAAATTCGGATTCAATAAAATGTCCACATTTAAAAACTTTTTCTTGCAAGTAAATTTCCAAATCTTATTTTGCTCTTAATTTATGATCCATGCCATATCGGGTGGCTTTAGCAATAAATAAAATATTTTAGGACATTTTTTTACAAATTTCTCCAAATTTTAAAACAGTGACTCGTTTCCGTCTTTTATTGTGCCACAATGCAGGTTGTCACAATCGTTTTTTTTTTTCATCTATAGACATTGGCTAACTTTTTAGAAAATCTTCTCTTGCAACGCGCCTCAAAGAGTGCGACAGATCAAAGCCATGCGAGAAAGCAAGAAAAATGATTTACATTAATTTAACGGATTGAAAAGTTATTAACATGCTGGAATTAATAATTATTGTTAACTCGAAGAGAAAAACCGTAAATCGTAAAACATCAGTAAATTATATTATAAATCACAAATATTAATTTCTTAAAAATCTAACAGAGGCGCCACTTTCCAGACGAAAAATCTTGCAATGTAAGGATTTCGTAGTACCCCACTTTTAAAGTTTATTTTTGATTATTTTTAAAAGAAAAAATATGTACGTGTAGGTAAAAGTTAAATCTATGCTCCTCTGGAACCACTTTTTCAAAATTCAATTTAGTTATGGGTAAAAAAAGTCGAGTTTTCTTTTTTTTATAAAAAACTGAATCAAATTTTGAAAAAGTGTCTCCACAGGAGCACATATTTAACCTTTACCTACACGCACATATCTTTTAGAAAAAGTCCTAACATTTTCACTGAAAATTATATTTTATGATAATCTCGTTTAAAACATTTCGCTTCATCTACTGTATAGGGTATTACAATTTTTGAACAAAATACGGGAAAATATTAGTCCTATTATAGAATAAAATGGATTGTTCTAGGCACTTGTGAATCGTTTTTTTTTATCTCCTGAAGAATGTAGTTTTTGCGTCTTACGAGGTCCTGCCTTGTGGCCCTCGCACCGTCTGTTTCACAAACGGGACCGCTTAGACGTCCATATTTTGCATTTAATGTGTATTTTTTCTTTCTTTCATGCGAATTTCTTCTGGATTTTTTCAAAATTTTGAGAATTGTGTGTTCTAACGACGACCACTAAAGCCCGACATGCAAGCGATTTTTTATTTGGTAATTTATGAGGCAGCTCTAGGACTATTTCTATTATTGTATATTTTCAGCTGGTCTGACTTCTGTCTGTCTTTTTTGGCAATAGAGAACCCTTCTACAATTTTATTCTAAACGCTTCCTACAAAATTGATATTTTTTTTTAGACAAAATTTATTTTCCTTTTGTCGTAAACTTCAGTCAGTATTCAACGAGGAAAGGGAAATAAGTTTAAAAACCATGGGATTCGTCAAAATGCATATCAAACCTGACTTTGTTCCCAAGGATTGCATAACATACATTAAAGTAAGTATAAAAGCATAACGAATATTTAATCTAATATTAATTGCTTTTTTTAGGATTCTATAGTGGCTTTCAAATGTATAATTCCTAATAGCATAGAAAATGTACAAACCCTGTTTAATTACTTAAATCATCCGACGTTAGATGAAGCGGACAAATTGGCTCTGAGTTCTAGAATCAGGGAAATATTGATGCAAATCTATAGATTTGGATTTGAAGTAAGTTAATTTTTATAATTTGCCCATTATTCTATAGGGTGTTATTGAAATACACATCTAGGTGAGAGTATTAAAAGAGATTAATGTGTAGATTCTTATAATATAATAATAATAATAATAAATACGTTTATTACTCAATAATATTATGTAAACGCAACAAATAAGTTATACACGAAACATTGAGTAAATGGCATTTAGCTCAGTGCATTTAAGTCTTTTAAACTAAAATGTCTGTTCTTCCGCTAAAGCCTGATTATTCTTAACTAATAACAAACATTGAATTAACAATAAATGAAAAAAAATCTTATTTAAGAGACATATAAAAAATATACTAATACTAAACACGCTAAAATTAAGGTAAAAACAGATAATATAAGAACAAAATAACAATAAATGTATCTGTGATAACCTAAATAATAAAAAAAAAATTGATAAGGACAATACAACAATAAGAATTAGCATCATAAAGTAAGTAGGTGATTTTTGTAGTTCATTTTAAAGCTATTTGGAGAAAGTGTGATATTAAAAAGATTATTTTCCATTAGATTATTTGCAGATTTTGCCACGTTGTATGAAAATGTTCGTTTAAATATTTCTTTACGATGGGAAGGTATAGTAAGCATTTGCTTTCGTCGTATATTTACATTGTGGACATCAGTACGATATTTAATCTTTTTATGTAAATATGCTGGAGTTTTGAACTTTATAATTTTAAAAATAAAAGAAGCAAAATGCATTTTTCGGCGATTATGCATATTAAGCCATTTCAAATTTTTAAGTTTATACGTTACTCTATGCCTACGTCTAATGCCGTAAATTAATCTAATGCAAGAATTTTGTATTTTTTGAATACGGGCTTTGTCAGCAGCGTCTAGACATGAACCATACACTGTATCACAATGATCAAACAGCGATAGTATAAGTGAGTCGCATAATTTTTTTTTTATGTTAACATCCAAAAATTGTCTTTGGGGATAAATTGCTTTTAGTGCACAATATGACAGTTTTAGTTTAGATGTGATATGGTCTTTAAATCTTAACTTATTATCAACAACTAGTCCCAAACTTTTTCCATTGCTATTAAAAGGAATGATTTCAGATTCTATTTTTAGTTGCATCTGGTTTTGTACTGCAATTCTTACAGATTCCTTACAGAATAGTAGGGCAGACGATTTAAGTGGATTTAATTTTAGAAGGTGATTGGACGAGGTTTTTGCTAAATTCTTTAAATCACTATTAATTAAATTAGAAGATTCTACTAAATTTTCATATTTAAAAGAAAAGTATATTTGCGTATCATCAGCATAAAAGTGATAGTTACAATATTTTAGAGAGTATTGAAAGTTACTAGTATAAATAGTGTATAATAGTGGACCAAGAATACTGCCTTGAGGAACTCCTAGTTTTAATTTAATTTTTTGAGATTTGTTTTTGCCTATTTGTACTCTTTGATATCTATCGCTTAAAAAAGATTTTATTAAGTTAGTAGCTGCATTAGAAAATCCCAGATAATGAGTGATTGACAGCAGTATTTGATGATTTAACATATCAAAGGCTTTCGAATAATCTAGTAAAACTAGTACACTTATTTTATTGTTATCTTCCGCTTGAATTAAATCATCAACTACGTCAGCAAGGGCAGTGGCACAACTATGTCCACTGCGAAACCCAGATTGTTTTATAGGTAATAAATTAAATTTATTTAGATGTTCTCTTATTTGCCTATCTAAAATCTTCTCCAATACTTTCGATAAGACGGGCAGAATACTAATAGACCTTAAATGATTTAGATCAGTAGGTGAGCTAATTTTAGGTATCGGAATAACATTAGCGAATTTCCACTCCAAAGGAAAATAAGAGGACAAAATTGACTGATTTATAATATTTGTAATATAAGGAATTATAAAAGGAGAGAAAAGTAACAATATATCGATATTCATATTATCGGTACCATAAGCTTTAGATTTAATATTTAAAATTATATTTGATACAATTTCTTCTGTAACAAGCGTGAATGCAAGAGGATCATTTATATTATTTTTTATTTGAGAATTGTAGTGACTAATTATGTCATAATTCGGTTGTTTATTTTCGATGCTAGTAAAATAATTGTTAATAATTTCAACATTATTTAAATGAGTAGGAATATCGTTATTTTTATTTTTTGTAATATTTAATTTTTTTAATTCATTCCAAGTTTGTTTAGTATTTGAATTTGCAAATTTATTTCGGAGATATGCCTTTTTTTCATTTTTTATTGCATTAGTTGTAAAGTTTCTAAGTTGTTTGTAATAAGACCAATTAGCTGGAGTACTATAAGTTTTGAATTTTCTTAATGCTTTGTCTCTTAGATTTTGCATGAATTTTATGTTTTCAGTAATCCATGGCGCATATGGTTTTTTACCTATGCGAATAGTTTTGACAGGAGCATGAATATCAAGTAATTCCAAATGTGCAAAATATTATTTTTAAAAAGTACTAATAAATAAGGAGCTCTTTCATAATAATTTGAAGCAAAATTTAGGGAGCATATTGCAGCAATACTAGACGATTTGTAAATTTTGTTGTACCGACACGTAATCTTATTCATATTGATTCAGTTACAAAACAAAACTCATCAGAAGTACGCTTCCTTTTTTTATTAATAATTTTTAAAAAAATACGTGACATTTACTGATTTTGGAATTGTGTTTGATAATTTACTTTACATTGGTACAACTCGGCAAATCAGTAGGATATTGAAAAAAATGGATGTGAGACCAACCGTTTATTTAAACGTGTTTGTAGCGTCGCTTTAGGTTGCAGATGTTATACTTTGATTTTATTTTTGTTCATAGAGAAACAAGACCGATTCAAGCAATCTAATATTGGAAAACAAACAAAATTAAATAATTTTTCGAATAAAATCGATTAGAATATCGGAATCTGTTGATGGAACACACTTTTTGAGATCAATATCTTTCCATGTCTGGTTTCCGACTTTTATCAAGTATTTGATTAAAAAGTTTATTAGCTCTTATTTTAATGAATATCACAAATAACCTGAAAAATTTGATTATCAAAGACACATCGGATGTTACTAATTGCTACAGATCATAACGAGTGACTGAGTAGATATTTCTTAGTGATTATGCGTGTGACGTAGGCTAGCCTCTGTTATGACAACATCAAGGCCACGCCATTTAAATAAGAGGGTGTTTTTAGCGTTTGAGGTTAAAAAGTAATAATGCACTCAAATATCAATTCAAAAAATATATTAAAATTGTTGTTGAATTCTTGTTTACAACGATTTATCCATTATTTTTTTATTCTAAATGAAACTAATTTATTCGTTTTTTTTTTGAATGGATGTAATATTAATTTCACACGTTGCACGAAGAGGCATCTGCCCACCAGATATTGCAATCTAAAATAACAAACAAAATAATGGTTTTAAAAAGTTTTTTTTTTCTACTAAAAAATAATTCTAAAAACAATGTTTTTAAAAGTTTATTCGCTCAAAAACTGTTGAAAACACAATATATTAATAATACAATGTTCTTAAAAGTTCATTCGCTCTAAAAACACCGGCATACAAAAAAAAAGTTGTCAGTACTTTTGACTGGACCGGTATATCTTTATGTATTTTGACCCGCTGAATCCGAATCTGAGAACCGTTTGACCCGTACACCGTCAAATTTTCGAGAAAACTTTGAAAAATTGCCGATTTTCGTCATTTTTTTCGGTTTTTCAAAGTTTTCTCGAAAATTTGGCGGTGTACGGGTCGCATATTTACACATCCTCCTATATGACGGCACCGGAGTGCTGAAATCTGTTCGCCTTTGTAACCTACAAGTACGCTACAAAAGCTCATTGATTTAGGCACCAATGCATGAGGCCTCTCTTATTGCTGGAATCAGTAAGCAAGCTTATCTGCATTCTATAAAACAATGGCTGTACTTAAACTGCCGTTAAACGGTCGTGTACTAAAATGCCGTTAATAGACATGATGTCATTCAAATGACGCATTTGAAGTGTTTTGGGATTAAAAAAAAAGAAGCAACGACTTCTCGTAGGCTCTGCCGCCACCAAAAAATTTTAACCCATACCTGGCTACGCCTACCGGCATAGACGCCAACGGCCTGGACACAGCTAAAATTGAAAAGTAAAGTCTTACATAACATAAAATTTGTATGGGTGTCTAAATCAATGAGCTTTTGTAGCGTACTTGTAGGCTACAAAGGCCAACAGGTTTCAGCACTCTGGTGCCGTCATATAGGAGAATGTGTAAATATGCGTACGGGTCAAACGGACCTCAGATTCGGATTCAGCGGGTCGAAATACATAAAGATATACAAGTCCCGTCAAAAAAGTACTGAAAACTTTTTTTGTGTGCCGGTGAAATTAATAATCTCCAAAAACTGTTGAAAAACAAAAACAAAACCACATCGTAAACATATACTTTCTATGGTGACAGTCGAAATTCTGTACTGTTGGGTACGTCATAACCCTGGCCTATCAATATTGGGTTTAACAAACAAGCATAGCATAGTCGGAAAGAAGGAAAATTGACCCAATCCTTTTTGGACATCTTACCCTCTCGTCACTTTTAATATGTATGTGTATTTCAGTAACAGCCTGTATATTATTACTTTTAAATATGCCAATGATGTAACTTTGATTCCACTGACAGCTGCTATTATTTACTATGAATACTTTTTTTTTTGAGTGCGTTTTGTTTACGTAAACTATACAGTTTTTGAACTTTGAACAAATTGATAAAATTAATATAACGTCTGTTTCCTTTTACATTTTTTTAAAGTTTTAGTAAGTAAAAAGTAATAAGTTCGAGTTTTTAGTATTAAAATAACTTTGTGAATTTTCCTATTATTTACTAGCTTAATAGTTACTACTTTTTATGACCTGCAAACAATATTTAAAAAAACAGTAAAAATCGTATGTCTAATTCAACAGAAAATGGTTTGTTTTTGTTAGTGGAACCAAAATTACGTCACACTAATATGGCTCATTTATTATATTACTAGTTTAAGGGCCGATCTTTTCATCTCTGAGTAAAGTAACATGTAGGTTTACTTGACAGATTAACAAACAATAGCCCTACAGTTTAATCAGCAAGTAGTTACTTTCGACTTTACACAGAGGTGGACAGATTGGCACTAACTTTAAAATAAAATAATTCATTGTCATCCTTTACCACTTTCAGTTCTATAAAGATCTATCAGATTCAGCATCGGAAGATCATCGAGCTCGTTTAGTACAAAGTATGGTAAATTTTGCCGATCTCTGGATGAAATTCGTCACGGAACGTTGCGAAAGGGGACGCGGCATGAGACCAAGATGGGCATTTCAGGGTATTGAATTTTTATTAACAGTTTGCGAACCAACCAATACGAAGCATTTGTCTGAAGGGAAGTTTGAGGAACTTAAGAGGAATATGGATATTTGCATATCCCATGTTATAGGTAAGAAAATTATTTAATATTTCTTATAGTTTTTTCTTTAATCTTATAAACAAGTACCTTGATTTTTGATTTAATTATATTATTAAATTAATGTCATTCGAGCCATTTTAGACCAGTCTGGCCCTTCTTTAACCCCTTAAGTACCTCTCTCCATTTGGGCCTTTTACGGCCTATTTTTTCCGTTAGCAAAAATATTCGATAAAATAAGTCAACCTCTAAAACCCCTATGAAACGTCCATTCTCGTTACTAAAAATCTATAATATGAATGTTGAAGAAGCTAGAAACAACAACAGGATAGGGGATGGTACCCGAAGCAGTGAATTTTAGTCGAAGGACGACTGCAAGTTTTGCCATTTGATTTCAGTTCTAGTTAAGATATCAGTAAAATAAATATAAATTAGTGTCTTAGCGATAATAAACTAAACAACAAGCTGTTGAAGGGAAGAGAAGGGCGTGTCCCGCGATTAGTTATGTAGATGGCGACTCTGTTTTTTCTCATTTCATGTTTATATCAAAAAGTATATTAAAAAAAATATATATAAAATTACTTGTTTTGTTAAAGAGTTCCTTACTTGGGAATGATGTATTTAATGTATTTCAAAGTAACATCAGAAGCTTAATTTTTCATGAAAAGTAAATTTTGTTTTAGAACATTGGACAAGTCCGAAAAATAAGTGGATAGTAATATAATGTAGTCGACCTTGGGCATTAGATCAGATTTACTTAGGACTGTGGGCCATGTGGCCTCCCCCACCTCGATCTTTTCAGATCTATTGTGAATATCCATTAATCCTTGTTTAGGCTACCTTGTCTTGTTGGGTATTTTTTAGTAGATTCCATAGATTAACAAGTAGTTCTCCGGCGTAGCTAGTTGCCCTTGGTTTTTTCTTTTCCAAATGTAAGAAATCTCAGTCTTAATAGAGCTTCACAGTACATGTACTGCAGTATCGTTTCTTTTGTAGTAGAATGGGATATATTCCTTCTACTCCTGGGGATTTGTATGGCTGAAATTTGTTTGTAGCCCATCTAATTTTGTTCAGCCTCCATGTTTCTGTAGTTAGCCTCCATTCCAAATAAAGGATGTATGCTACTATCAGATCTAACAAAATTTTTGCGACTGGAAAGTGTGCTTCTGTGAGCATTGTTAACGTTTCCTCGAAGGTTTTTGTATAGATTTCATCATCTTTCCTGGGAAATCCTACCTGATTTGCAGTACCCTCTTTAACTAGGACTTTGTAGATTGTAGAGCATATATAGGGACCAGTCTTTGGTGAATTTGCTTTATTATTTGCTGTCTTGTTTTCTCCGGACAGTTTTCCTATGCCATAAATGAGTCGATTGACAACGATGTGGATTACGTACTGACTACCAAAAACACTCATCTGTAATATTCACAGGTGAACTACCTCTACACTTCATAAGGTTTAAAAAACGACGAGAGCACACACCATCTACGTTCAGTGGAGACATTGTTTTGTTTAAATAGTAAACTGTAATTATTATATAGTAAATCTTTGTGCTAAAAATAAATTTTTATTACAACTAGAGACACTTCAAAATAAAGTGGAGAAATTTTTAATATTTTGGGGGATGCGCCTTATTAAATAAACGTTACAATAATTTTCCTATTTAACCGTTTCTAATAGGAACTACAGCACCATCTACCCCTGACAGTGGATTCCACTCAGCCTCTCCAAGAAGTAGTTTGGAACAAATAAGAGCTAGATCTAGAGGTTCATCACCTAGCCCTAGGCCTACATATAAAAGTCAAAGATCTGGACAAGGAAGAAAGATAAGCATTGAACAACAATCACCAGGGACAGATATGTTAGATTCTACGATTTTAAATACAAAGTGAGTTATAAATATTTAAAATATTGGAATTTTATGAAAAATATTTTGATCATCTGTTCCTTACCACTATGCTCTTTTTTTCAGTTTTCGCAAAGAAGAAAAGAACGGTCACACGTCAATAAAAATAGAGTTCCCTCAAAAATCTCACACCGACAAGTTTAGAGATGCCGTTGACACTCTGGAAAGCGAGTTGGACAAAAAGCTAATGCAACAGAATCTCATTGGAAAAGTTTTAGAAGATAAGACTATAAAAAGTTCGATAATAAGGAGAAACGTTAATTTTTCGTGGCAGCGCGGTATCAAAATCGGCCAAGGTCGTTTTGGTAAGGTATGTAAAAATGTTTTTTCTAGATGAACAGTTTTTTTATTTACTCTTGTTTAATTATGTAGGTGTACACGGCGGTAAATAATAATACCGGTGACATGATGGCAGTTAAAGAAATAGCGCTACAGCACAATGATAATGGTACCATAAAACGGGTAGCTGAAGAAATGAAGATATTAGAAGGCATCATACATAAAAATTTAGTTAGGTCCTACGGAGTTGAAGTCCACAAAGTAAGAAACATTTTTTATTGATCAAAAACTAGTGACATACCGTTTGGTTTATTGCAATATTTTAACGTTTTTAGGATGAAATGTTAATTTTTATGGAATACTGTTCGGAAGGCACTTTGGAAAACTTAGTAGCAGCTAGCGAGAAGGGTTTACCTGAACTTTTAATACGTAAATACACTTTTCAATTGGTCTCGGGCGTGAATTGTATGCACGAACACGGCATTGTCCACAGGGACATTAAGACAGCTAATATATTTTTAACCAATGGTGGTAACTGTTTGAAAATAGGAGATTTTGGATGTGCAGCTAAAATTAAATCCAGTACGACGATGCCTGGCGAATTGAAAGGTTTCGTTGGTACTCAAGGTAGGGAATTAAAAATAGAAATTATTTTAGTTAGAGATGGAACTTTTCACGAAAAGTAATTTTTGGACTAGTCCGACGGACATGTCCGGAAAAGTAATGAAACGTCACGATGAAAAGTAGTTAAATATCCATCCTGGATGTTTTTCAAAATCACTTTGGTAACAATATTTGCATTTGTATTTTGGTTTTTTTTAAGCAAATCATTTGTAAAATACTTCTAACCATTGGATTTTTTGGTAATTTTTCACTAGTTTATTTTAATAAGATATTAAACGAAAACATCGTTAAAATATTTTAAAAGTCTCTTATCTTTATTTGGGCTCAACTCTTCTGAATTATTTACCCAGCACCATTTGTAAATGTTTTTCAATTATCGAACAAGCTGCTCTCTCACGCATCTGTCTCTAAGACAACACTTCTTCCAGATTCTAAAACAATTCTTAAATTATTATATTGCATTCTTTCAAGAATTTACACAAAAGCGAAGCACTAAAAGCAGACGGGTTTCTAAGCAAGTCTTCTACACAAAGCCATTTCACTTTTCATGCAGTTTTTAAGCATTAGTTTATATAACTTACTACTACTACTATGTTTGTTATTAGAGCATTCCAACAGCATTATGTCGAATACTACCTATTTTACCACAACTACAATTTGGAGAGTCATAGACTCCTAATTGATGGAGATGTTCTGGAATAGTATAGTGGCCTAACCTAAAGCCTATTTAATGTAGCTGTCTTCCTGCTTATTTTAATCTCATTAAACCATGACTTGTGGGGTAACTTTCCCACTATACCGTGGTAATGCCTTCCTTTAATTTTACATAATTCTGTCCATTCTTCTCTATTCTTTGCCTTTATTTTTAGCTAATATCTCTATAATCTACCATCCTGAAGTTAATATTTTTAGTCAGACTTTATTTTGCTAAACTATCTGCTTCATTGTTCCCTAAAATATTCGTGTGACTCGGTGTGTGACTCCCAATTTGATGTTTTAAGTTATTTGCTTTAGCTTCCATCAATGATTCTCTGACGCATATTTCTGGATACTCTGACTGTCTATTTAAACCTATTCGAGCTACTTTCTGTAGCGCACTTTTTGAATCAGTTAATATGAGAGTATTGGCACTACCTATTTATATTGTTTTTTTGACTGCCACTAGTATTGTCAGTACTTCGGCTGTACAGATGCTAGTCTCGTCCACTATTCTTGCGTTGATTTTCGTCCCCTCATTTTCGCAGTAAATCTCAAAACCTGTTCTTTCGGCTTGCTTGTCTTTAGATCCCTCTGTGAAGACTACATGGTATTTGTTCCATTTCACTTTGATTATTTCCATGAATTCCTTTTGATTATTTGAATTCTTTTTTTGGAGCCCCAAATCAACCCAGGATACCTCTGTGAACCATCCTCTCTACCCAAATGCAAAACATGGTAGATTATCATACTTTCTAATTTTGTTGTAATATGCTAATGCCCTATCCAGTCCTTCCAGTATTGGTAAGTTCGTAGTGCAGATAATTTGGTGTTGAAGACTAGATACTTAATAATTTTTCCATAGTAATCCTTTTATTCTGAGAAATATGTTTAATAATAAATTTTTCAGCTAACCAAATTCTCCTTGGATGTAATGGTAGTTCACATTTTAAAAGTCTGTAAACATTCGTCTTTTCTTCTTTTTTAAACTAAATTTTGCCTTTGTAAAAAATTCAGACTTATTAGTTATTTTAATTTCGGGCTTGCGCAATACACTTTTCCACTTTTGAAGTGTGTTTGGACTAGTCAACTTTTCAGATTAGTCCGTCGGACTTGTCCGTGGGCTTTTCAAAGCGGCCCATCACTACTTTTAGTATAACTAAATTGTATGGCAAACACACATCTAGCACATTGTTAACTGTTTTGGGCTACGACCTCACGCATGTTTCCACTTTTACTGTTTAAATTGTGATTTCATTAATATAAATATTTTTTTGCAGCATATATGGCTCCAGAAGTTTTTACCAAAAATATGTCGGAAGGACATGGCAGAGCAGCTGATATTTGGTCAGTTGGGTGTGTGGTAATCGAAATGTCATCTGGACAGGTTAGTTTAAATTTTTAAATCACTTTTTTAAAAAGCTAGGTCAATGGTGTTTCTTTTGTAGATATTAAAAAAAAATCGATTAAAGTTTGAGGTAAATTTGATGAAACTAGTCTTTTTTGTATAATTTTTTATCATTCTGGACCTTTCTTATTGGTTTTATTGCTATAATTGTGGTTAATTAAATACGTCGTAAACTTTTGACAATACGTTTCGTGCATTAGCTTATGTGATTATCGATACACTCGTATTTATAATCGGTATCTTGGGTACATTTTTAAGATTTTCTATTCAAAGCGATTTTATTATTCGTGTGGTTTGTTTTCAGCGGCCTTGGGCTCAATATGACTCCAACTTCCAAATAATGTTCAAAGTAGGAATGGGACAAAGCCCGGATCCCCCTGACGATATGATAGACGAAGGTCTAGATTTTCTCGATATGTGTTTCAAACATGACCCCAAGGAGCGAGCGACTGCTCGTGAATTACTGGCTCACGATTTCGTGTTAGTCAAACTAGCGGACGACTTTAAAGATATATTATAAAAAGTATTATGATTCGAAAACATTGTTCTTTGTGATTCAAATTGAATTATTTTAATTATGATGACAGTTCTTGTAAAATATTTAGAACTAGAGCTGCAACTTTTAAAATTGTTATCTCTTGTAAGTTACTTGTTTGTCAGTTGTGAATTGTTATTGATCAAAAATTTCATTATATATCTGCAAGAGATTAATTTTTTAATTATTTTAGAGGTGAAATGGTTAATAAATACCTCGCTCTCTTATAAAGAAATTTTATGCACTTATAAAATGTGTACTTTTTAATGTTCAATATACTTTTTTCAATATTATATTTTCAACGATTTTTTATTATAAATACGAAAACATAAAATGTAAAAAACCACACTAGACTGATATATTTTACAAGTGTGATTTTATTTTGGATTATAATCGGATGATATTTGACAATTATTGTTAAAATTCACTTTTACGGCAAATTTTAATCTGTCATTTTAACGTTTTAAACTATATGTTGTGTATTTGTTATGATTTTTTATTTGTATAAGGCTGAAATAATGGACGATTGTGATTGTTAAAAAATATAATGTGATAAAGTGTGAATCAGCTATTTTGGTAGATCAATTTTATGATCCTTTAAACAGAAATTGTATTTTTGTCGCAATTTGAATGCAACACCCAGTATAATACCTGTACTGTGTAGCTGAAATTGTAAGCTAAGATAGAAATATATATTTAAGTAGCAATTTGTGTTTCATTTCAGTATATACAAGGTGGTCCAACGAAAACTTGACATGGGGAGGATTCTGGGTAATAATATCGTGGAAGTTAAAAAAACGCTCGGACAGGAGGATTTTAGTTTGAAGGGGGACACTTTTTTCTTATTGCAGCATCGTCACTTAAACCCTCGAGCAGTGGGGCGAACAATCCCAATTTAAATAGGGAAAGTGCCACACATAGAAAAGGCAATTTGTTGAATAATTCGGCAATAAGGTTATTTATTGCGTTACTTTGATTTTAGTGCATTCTAGCATGATAAAAAACTTTTAAGTATTGTTAAAAATACCTTTAATTAACATATTACAAATACAGCGAATCAAATCAAAGAATAGTTAAAAGCCGCCCCTGTTGAATTTATTTAAAGTAAGGTATACAAATCAAACAAAACAAAAATAACTTAACACAATTATAATACTTAATGACGGAAACCGCATCCAAAAGAAATGTACAATTAAAAATGCTTAGCGACAATTCGCCAAGACCATTGCAGTTGGTAATAATATGTAAGCGCGAATCTATAGCATGTACCCCTCTAATAAGTTAAGAAAAGAGTGAGCAACGAGCCCCTCTTTCAGCAAATTTACTGGCCAACGAGCAACATCTAAAACGAGCTCAGACCAGACCCACGCCGCTAAGGCAAAAAAACTATTATATCGATGGTTTAGTGCACACATGAGTTGAGTAACATTTTGCTAATATTTGATAAATTAAGTTTAAAGCTACAGCTCTGTTATTTCACATGAAATATATCTAGCAAACCATTTCAACAATTCTTTGTTTTTTCTGATTACATAATAAAGCAAAATAAAAATAAATTATTTCTACACTTATAAGTAGGTACATGCATTTAACACAATTTGTCCAAGAATGCACTTAACACCTGTGTGTGCTAAGCCATCAATATAAGAACTAGACGCTCATCCTAATGCAAATGTTCTGAGCAACTGATGTAAATATGTAAAAATTAATTTGTTTTCAACTTCCTGATTACAATAATAAAATAAACAGTGTTACAACATAGGTACCTTCCTATTAACGATCTTCGAAGAAACTACAAACCAGAAACCTCTTGGATACGTAATAGGTAACAAATTTATTATGGAATACAGTCCACTCCGGTTTTATACTTATTTAGTGCACAAAAAGTCAACTAGCTTTAATGCATACTATATCACGTGCTATAAAGTGTGAGACTTCATTTGAAAGCTAATTTTATTACTAAGTATGACAGTATAACTGATATAATTAGACCAGATGTAGGGGGTTACAGTCTGTAGTACTTCCCTCCACATAGTTAAACAATTTTGAATTGAGTTGCCATCCCTATACCAATATGCCGGTTATAATAATTCTTGGCAATACCCCATATTATTTAAATTGGGTTAAATTTACAATGATAAGGAGGTAACTGAATAACTGAGTGGCCATATGCTTTTGCAAGTTGATCTACTTCATACATGTTTGGTAGTTTATTTCTGAAAACTGTGTTCAATAAATCTTGTTTGTTCATATTCTGATCAAATTGAATATTGTGTGACGTCAACCATTTCTGAATTTCAGGTTTTGTCCAGGAATTATTTAAAAAGTTACGTGCTGTGATAGGAAGCATTGTGCATAACAATCGTTGTAGGCTGAGTTAAATTTATAAGTACCTATGTAATTGAGTCTCGATTTATTTTTCATCCATGATAGTCAGGACTATTACTATTTGATGAACACAATTTCTGCCCCATCAATAAAACCATTTACGTTACCAGCATGAAGAACAATGAATCTTTTTCCATCAACTTTTGTAGTTTTTGTGCTCCTTTTATCGTTATTTTGCCAAGAGTGGTTTACTGTGCCATTTTGAAAAATTATTTTACTGGCAACATAAGGAAGTTTTATAAGACCCCGCCGAGGATCATCTTTCTTACATTTAAATCCTATACTGGTTAACACTGTATACAATGATCTTTTGCAGCCCGTAAACATTTCTCTTTGCGTTAAAGTTTCATGTAATGTCGCACGAGTTACTTGTTGTTTCTTATACATAACGTAAATGACAACGAATGAAGTCAGAATTGAAAATTTCGATTACAGGTTTGGGATGTGGTCGCCTTTTTGGAGGAGAATTTAAAATGGTTATTCTTTAATGACTGGGAGAGCTTACCATCCAAATATTCAAATTCAACGCCGCTACTAGGCGCTCTTTGACTGCATTTATTGGCTATTTAAATGCTTAGACATTTTAAAATGACATTTCAATTATACAGGTCAATCTTGAAAAGCAACAAATATGACTAACAACAATGATTTATCTGTTCAATTTGATAAAGAATTTTCATCATTAATGACGTGTAACGGAAATTTCATAGCAATAGTTATTCACTCATTGCGAAGTCATGGTAGGGGAAGCAAAAGCGATTACTAGCTCAACCTGCGGATAATTCGAGTATTTTAGGGCGATATTTTGTAATTCGGGCGTATCAAATACACGTATATATTTTAAGTTTTTTTAAAAAATAGGTAAAAAAAATACAATGAGCAACTGGCATTCCTGTGTTGTAAATTGTAAAAATACTACAAATAAAAAACAGTGCAAATTATATAAATTTTCAGTAGCAAAATGGAAATTAAATCAACGAAATAAATGGATAGCTACAATAAGAAGAAAAAAGTACCTTTACTTTTGTAATAATACTAGTATTACTGGAAATAGTAGATATCAGAAAGTAAAAAGGTTTTAAATAAACAATGTTATGATGTTCTTCAACATCACTTAAATCTTAAATGTTCAGTAAGGACTAGATTTCTGCCATTGATAATATGTGGCTGAAATGCAATTTTGTGACTTATTGATAGGAAACCAAAATGACGAAAATAAAAATTACAATCGCAAATATATAAATTATTTTTCTTTTGGTAATACATTTTGATTTCACGTTATAACTTAATGGTAATTTTATTCTATCATTATTTAAGGTATTCTTAAATGGCAACTTATTGAACTTAAGCAACTTCTCATACATTTTCTCTAAAAATACTGTTGCCTGCCTATGTTTTATTATTGATTTTTATTAATTATATATACTTACTTTTTTTAGCTGAAGCAATAAAAATATATAATGAAATCATTTTTTCACTAGTTTTACAAGTCCATTTACTTTTATTAACACCAACATAAATATTTTTAATTACGAAAAGTATATTATCAGTACCTACACGAAATAAATCGTCCGTTAGTTCATAAGTTAGTTGGCGCTGCTGTCGTGCCCGGTGCTAATACCAACATTATACATCATCAATATTGTGTTATGTTCAAAAGTAATAAAGGACATTACAAGGCTTCCCTTATAAAAGTTTTACCACCACTTTAATAACATAGGAACCAAATAAGTAGTACTAAAAATGTGTATTCTGGTCCATAAAATTATGTAAATAATAGGTCGATATCTCACTCTTTGTCCATCAACAGACTAGGGGATATATTGTGCAACAGAGGGCAAATTAAAAATAATGCTACCTACCTACATAACGTGGCAATCGAGAATAATTGAACATTTGAATTATTACGCAGAAGTGCATCTAATCGCCATAACTTAGTTAATTATTATTAGGAGTGAGGGACGAGAGGGTTGCCACATATATGAGTGATTAGGACTGAGTAGTTGTAAAGAAAAAGGGCTTTTCTTTAATTAATAGTTTTTGTTATGAATATTATGGCGGTTTTTAAAATTTATCTAAAATTGTTATAATTATATTTTAGTAGCATTTTAATAGTTAAAAAATATTCGTGACTTGAAAAGATACGATGTAACTATTTGCTATTTATTGCCAAAGTAACCAGTATCTTTTCTAAAGATACGATGCAACTATTATAAGTTCATAACAAGCGCCACTATCGGAAATGTATTTATTAGTAATAACATCTTAACTTAAGTTTGCAATCATAACGAGTCAGGCGGAAAACAATAATATAATTTCAGTTATAAAGAGCGGATCGTAATTATAGTTACGATAATCAATGGGCTACTTTTTTACACGGATGAGATATAATAAAATAATTTTTGCAATCATAAAACAAAAAAAATCTCAAAATTGTGCATTTTAATCGAAAGACCAGGTATTTTTTAAACCGAATTATGGACTTGCCAAAAATCGAGATACGATGTTCTTCGTTATTTTCTGTTAAAATGTTTCCCACAGAACAATTACTATGTTTCCTTCCGATCTTAGCGGTTGCCGTGTTAAAAAAGTTCAAATTAATCAAGGGGTTGTTTGTAAATAAAAGATGAGACCGAAACTCTTTTGGATATTTAAATAAAAAAGAAGAATTTGACAGTTCTTATACCATAACCACACTTTTTAACATTCAAATTTTGATTTGAATTTGGTTTAAATAATAATGTTACAAATAACATAGAAATGAACAGAATAAAGCTTTTTACCAAAGTAGCACAACATTTTACCAGACAGATGTATTCTACAAATAATGATGGTAGGCAAAAAGTTCATTAGGTACTAAAAATAATCTTTTGTTAAAACTTCCTGCATTTTAGTGATTTTAGTAGACAAAATGAATCATATCACTACAATAGGTATAAATAGGCCCGATAAGCGTAACTGTGTAAATTATCAAACGATAAGTCTTTTAAGAAAAGCTTTAGAAGAATTTGAACAAGACAGTAATTCTTATGCAGCAGTTTTATATGGTACAGGAGGAAATTTTTGCTCTGGGTTTGATTTACAAGAATTAGTAAATTTTGAAAATAACCCAGACGTATATAATTCATTAGAAAATGGATTAATGGTTAGTAGAAGTTTTTAAATTTATATTACTTTAAAAAATTGATCTTTAAACAATCACTAAAGTAAAATCTATTTTATATTTCTTAGGGAATGCCAACTCATATAAAGAAACCAACTGTAGCTGCAATTAATGGTTATGCTGTAGCAGAAGGATTCGAGTTAGCTTTAATGTGTGATTTACGGGTAATGGAAGACACAGCTGTTTTAGGGTTTTATGGTAGAAGATTTGGTAAATGTTTTGCCTACATCCATTTCATTATTTAGAATATTCAGTTATGATAATTTTAAATACAGCATATTTTCATATCCGTTCTTTTCTACAAGTCTCTTAAAATTTTAATTATTGTAGGTGTACCAATCTCAAATGGGGGAACTGTGAGACTCCAAGCAATGATAGGGCTTTCTAGAGCTTTGGATATGATCTTAACTGGAAGGTCTTTGAGTGCAGAAGAGGCATTTGAGTGGGGATTAACTAACAAAATAGTTGCTTGTGGCACAGGTAACCAAAAAATAGTTTCAAGTCATTTCCATCTGGTAAGAATGGTGTTATTTGTATTTTTTTTAGCATTAGGTCAAGCAATAAATATGGCAGTATCCCTAGTTAAATTTCCTCAAGAATGTCTTAACATAGACAGAAATTCAACATACAATGCTGCTTACAACGAAGCCTATCAAAATTTGATTAAAGAAGAACAAACAAACTCAAAAAAGGTGCATCTTAAGGACATAATAGAAGGGGCTAAAAAATTCATTGCAGGACTAGGGAAACATGGAAAGACTTATAATTTAACTCAAAAAGATATCTGTGAATGGGAGAAGGAATTTGAGATGAGGAGTGCTGTTAAAATCAAACCAAAGAGTAAATTGTAAATTGTGTAGATTTTAAAGTTATTTTGTACAATATGTATATTATTAGAATATATTTTATATAAATATTTAAATGACTGAATTACTTTTAAGTCCCTTGGACTTTTTTGATTTGAAATATTTCTTTAAATTAATTTAAAATTGAACAAAATAGTTTTGATAGCGCCACTAGTTTTAAGAAGCAAAAATTTAGGTAAAAAATAAAACCTAGTATTGCTACACTAAACTGTATGAAATCAGTTTTCTCCCAATATGTTTAAATAATAATTATATTCGGAAGGGCGACAATTCTAGCAGGTTTATAGTGAGCGCACCCCACGGTGAAGACCTTTGTAAGTGTATTACAAAAAATATTTTAAACAAATATACGTTTGGTGAAGATATGAAAATCGATAAATTGTATTTTAATTATAAATATTTTTGGCTTCATGGGTTCGAAAAATTTATTCAACAGGTACAAAAACTCTACAAATAATACATTTAAAGTCGGATCAATGCTATTGCAACTCTAAAGCAAAACCTAAAAATAGTTAACTATGTACCAAGGGCGTAAAACAGGCGTTTATGGACCGCAACGTGTAAGTAAGAGCCCGAGCCGCTAGGCGAGGGCTATTAATAATAAGCTTTATTGTCTAACAGGTAGTCCCATTTACAAGACAATACAATTAACATATAATTAAAGTATCTATATAAATTATAAATAAAGTAAACAATGTTGTTTCAATACAATTAAAACAATGATTGAAAAAATGATTTATAAAACAATGAAATTGAAACAATGATTAAAACAATGATTGACGAGTACAATTAATAAATTTGGGTAAGGTCATACCAAATATATCAAAATCATAATTGAAACTGGCAAGATTATTATATGTTTCACACATGTTGTAGATTGGTGATTTTAACATAAGATTGGTATTACTTTGGTTGAGATAAAATAATGTTCTTAATCTAGTGTTCTTGTTCGGAATACGCCAGCATATTTTATTTAGTATTTCGGAGCAGTCAATTCTATTATTTAGCAACTTATACAAAAATATTAACATTAAATAAGATCTCTCTAATAGCATTGGTAAATCAAATTTACTCAATAACTGCGAGTTATTGTATCCACCGGGAGGATAAAGCCCATAATTTTTTAACATAAGATATTTTGCCAATTTCCGTTGTATATTTTCGAGTTGTTGGATTTGAACTGCATAAAAAGGATTCCAAATTATCGAACAATATTCCAGTTTTGATCTAACATAGCTGTAATACAATAGTTTGATGGTATCAATATTTTTGAAATTTTTGCAAGAACGGTAAATAAAGCCTAACATTTTTGACGCCCCAGCAGATATATCAGCAATATGTTTGTTGAATGAAAATTTTGAATCAAAATTGATCCCTAGATCTTTGAAATTAACAAGACGGTTGGTACTAATGTTTTGTGTTTTGTAATCAAACAATATTGGAGTATTTTTTAGAGTATATGTAACCATATTACATTTGCTTATGTTTAGAGGCAATCTATTGTTGTTACACCAATGATTTAGAGAATCAATGTCAGATTGCAGTTGATAACAGTCATCAATTGAGTTAATTATCCTAAATATTTTTAAATCATCAGCAAATAGGAGAGAATTACTAGAGATACATTGCGTAATATCATTAATAAAGATAGAGAATAAAAGTGGTGCAAGATTGCTTCCCTGAGGAGCTCCACTAGTTGATTTAAAAGAATATGATTTGTATCCATTAATTTCTACATTCTGATATCTTTCACTCAGATATGAAAAGATAAGTGTAACTAAGTTATGATCGAATCCAAAATTTTTGAGTTTATGCACCAACAGTGTGTGGTCGAGTCGATCAAAGGCCTTTGAGAAGTCTGTGTAAATCGTATCAACCTGTTTGTGATTATCTAAAGACTCTAAGGTAAATTGTGTAAAACATGTAAGGTTGGTAACAGTGCTTCTAGTCGCAAAAAACCCATGTTGTGAAGGGTTTATTAAACTTTTTACTTGTGAAAACAGTTTTTCATACACAGCCATCTTAAAGACCTTTGAAAACCCTGAAACTTGACATACTGGCCTGTAATTTTCTACCAAGTTCATTCTACCTTTTTTAAATATAGGTGTAACTCTTGATAATTTCCATTTGTCTGGATACGAGCAAGATTTGATTGATAGATTAAATAAGTAAAGTAAAGGCTTTAAAAATATTTCCGAGCAGTCTTTTATGAGAAAATTAGGTATTTGATCTGGTCCCTGGTTCAATCGAGGCTTAAGTTTTTTTAAAGATGTTTTTATGTTATTTTCAGATAAATGTTTGATATGTATAAGAGAGTTTTATTAGTGTCTTCTGATTGTAAGAACTTGGAATCTGATGGTAGGGTATATACTGATTGGAAGAAATTTGCAAATTGATTGACTATTTCCCGAGGGTCATTTATTATTTTATTATTTATTAAAAGGGTATTGATTGAATTGAACCCATTCCGCTTGGATTTTATGAATGACCAAAATTGCTTTGGCTCTTCTTTAATTTTTTCTTCCGTTATCTTAATATATTTTTCATAAGCCGTTTTTATTTGAGTTTTAATTATTTTCCGTACATTATAGAATTCCTCCCTTAGAGTATCGTTATTTTGATTTTTTTTGAATTTTTTAGATATTCGAGATTTTTTGTTTAATATTTTTAATTATTTCTATTAACACGTAAGGTCCATAAACGCTGTTTACGCCCAAAATACATACAATATTTTATGCACGACCGTTTTAATAGTCATTTATTAATAAATATACAAAATTTTATGCACGACCGTATTAATGATAGTTTATTAATAAATATGTTTTATTTTCTATTTTTCACCTTTTATGAGTAGGTTATTATAAATGTTTCAAGTTGGATACATTTTATACCTCGATATTATTATAACTCCTGTATAACAATCTACCAAATCATTTGTATAGTTAAATAAAAATAAGTCTTATTGAAACTAATCTTCTATATATATAAAATTGTTTGTCCTTACTGACTGACTGACTGACTGACCTATCAACCTACAGCCAAAACTACTGAGCCTAGAAAGCTGAAATTTGGAACATAGGTTTATTTTATAACGTAAGCATCCGCTAAGGAAGGATTTTTCAAAATTTTAACTCTAAAGGGGGGAAATTGGAGGAAATGGGGGGGAGGGAGCTTTTAATGCAACTCTTTGTTCTTTAAAGTTAGAAACATACAAATTTAAAATACAGCTACTAAGCATAAATAAATAATGACGTGTTTCAGGGTTTTTCGATTTTCACATTTTAAGGGGGGAAAAACGGGGGGTGAAAGTTTGTATGGGACTATTGATTTTTTTTGTTCCCTTTGAAGTTAGAAACATGAAAATTGGAATTGCAGCTACTGACTACAAATTATTAATGACGTGTTTCAGGGTTTTTGGATTTTCACATTTTAAGGGGGGAAATGGGGGGTGAAAATTTATTTGAAAGTATCTATGTTTTTGGTTCTCTTTAAAATTAGAAACATGAAAATTGGAATTGCAGCTAATGAATACAAATTAATAATGATGTGTTCTAGGGTTTTTGGATTTTCACATTTTAAGGGGGGAAAATGGGGGTGAAAGATTATTTGCAGATATCGATTTTTTAAAGGTAGGAACTTGAAAATTGGAATTGTAGGTTCTCATCATAAATAAATAATGGAGTGTTTCAGGATTTTTGCATTTTAAGGGGGGGAAATTTGTTTAATAGTATTAATATATTTTTTGTTATTTAAAGTTTGAAACATTAACATTTGAATTGCAGCTACTGATTAAAAATGTGTTTCATGGCTTTTAGATTTTCACTTTTTAAGGGGGGGAAACGGGGGGTAAAAATGGTAGTATCATAAAAATAAACTAAAATAAAAAAAATAATTATTAAAAATTAATAAAAATTAATAAAAATTATTAAAAATTAATAAAAATTAATTAAAATTAACAAAAATTACTAAAAATTAATAAAAATTCTTAAAAATTAATAAAAATTAATAAAAATTAATAAAAATTAATAAAAATTAATAAAAATTAATAAAAATTAATAAAAATTAATAAAAATTAATAAAAATTAATAAAAATTAATAAAAATTAATAAAAATTAATAAAAATTAATAAAAATTAATAAAAATTAATAAAAATTAATAAAAATTAATAAAAATTAATAAAAATTAATAAAAATTAATAAAAATTAATAAAAATTAATAAAAATTAATAAAAATTAATAAAAATTAATAAAAATTAATAAAAATTAATAAAAATTAATAAAAATTAATAAAAATTAATAAAAATTAATAAAAATTAATAAAAATTAATAAAAATTAATAAAAATTAATAAAAATTAATAAAAATTAATAAAAATTAATAAAAATTAATAAAAAATTAATAAAAATTAATAAAAATTAATAAAAATTAATAAAAAATTAATAAAAATTAATAAAAATTAATAAAAATTAATAAAAATTAATAAAAATTAATAAAAATTAATAAAAAATTAATAAAAATTAATAAAAATTAATAAAAATTAATAAAAATTAATAAAAATTAATAAAAATTAATAAAAATTAATAAAAATTAATAAAAATTAATAAAAATTAATAAAAATTAATAAAAATTAATAAAAATTAATAAAAATTAATAAAAATTAATAAAAATTAATAAAAATTAATAAAAATTAATAAAAATTAATAAAAATTAATAAAAATTAATAAAAATTAATAAAAATTAATAAAAATTAATAAAAATTAATAAAAATTAATAAAAATTAATAAAAATTAATAAAAATTAATAAAAATTAATAAAAATTAATAAAAATTAATAAAAATTAATAAAAATTAATAAAAATTAATAAAAATTAATAAAAATTAATAAAAATTAATAAAAATTAATAAAAATTAAAAATTAATAAAAATTAATAAAAATTAAAAATTAATAAAAATTAATAAAAATTAATAAAAATTAATAAAAATTAATAAAAATTAATAAAAATTAATAAAAATTAATAAAAATTAATAAAAATTAATAAAAATTAATAAAAATTAATAAA